TTTGATGCATAATGAATCTATTCGCATATGGTTCTCAAGACGTAAAATAACTACAGGTATTGATGTTGAGTTAAAAATTGAACTTGAAAAAAGAGAACTTTATTGGAGAAGTATAATTCACCGTTTAATTGAAACCGTTATATTTTTATCAGGCAGAGGTCTTGCATTTCGAGGCAATAATGAGACGCTGGGTTCTAAAAATAATGGCAATTATCTCGGTTGTTTAGAATTAATTGCGAAATTCGATCCATTAATGTCCAAACAACTTGACGAGTACGGTAATAAAGGCCGTGGAAATGTCTCATATCTGTCCCACACTATTTGCGATGAGTTAATAACACTTATGAACAAATCTGTACTTTGTAATATTGTAAATGAAGTAACGGCAGCTAAATATTTCTCGTTAATCGTAGATTCTACTCCCGATATCACAAAATTAGATCAATTAACAATTGCTATTAGATACGTTAATTTAGATGGGACTGCAGTAGAACGATTTTTATGTTTTATTCCATCGGTTGGACATAAAAGTAAAGAAATGGAAGTCGCAATATTAACGAAATTAACTGAATTAAATATCAACATAAATTATTGTCGTGGACAATCCTACGATAATGCCAGAAATATGTCCGGTATGTATAATGGTTTGCAAGCCCGAATCAAAGAAAAATCAAAAAATGCAATTTTTAGCCCATGTTCAGCACATTCGTTAAATTTGGTTGGTTGTCATGCTGCTGATGTAACTAAGGAAGGTTATAACTTTTTTTCACTTGCCCAAAATATCTATGTATTTTTTTCTGCATCGACATGGCGGTGGGAACAACTTTTAATAAGTTTGAAAAATATACCAAACTCAATGTTTATAAAAAACTTATGCCCAACGAGATGGTCATCAAGATTTAGTGTTTGTAAGAGTTTGAAAATTGGGTTTAAAGGAGTGTTAAATTCATTGAAATCTATAGCTTTGAATTTGGATCAGAAAGCTGCTATAAGACATGAAGCAGAATCCATGTATAAAAAAATTGACACGCTCGAGTTCTCATTTATGATAGTTCTATGGACGCCAATATTAGAAAGATTCGACGCAACAAGTAAAAATTTACAAAGTGTTAATATTGATTTATCTTGTGTTGTGAAATTGTATGAATCTCTAGAAATGTATGTACAAGATATAAGAAATAGATTCGATAATTTATTAGTCGAAGCAAAGCAAATTAGTGGGCATGAAATCTTTTCTTTTGAAGAAAAAAGAAATAAACGAAAAAAATGTTTTCATGATGATCTCGATGTTCAAGACACAATATTTCACGGACAAGAGAAATTCAAAAATGAAACATTTTTACCAATTTGTGACACAATTATTTTATGTTTAAATGAAAGAAAAATGGCATATATTGAGATAAATAAGATATTTGGGTTTTTTTTAAATATGGAGGAAATTGACAATGAAATTTTACGCGAAAAATCAAAACAATTAGTAGCTATCTATAGTGAAGATTTAGAACCTGACCTCGAGAATGAGATCATTCAATTTAAAACTATAGTAAAACATTTTTCTGCAGAAGAAAAATCATCTATGCACAGTTTGCTTGAAGCATTAACAACATCAAAGTTAAACGATTCATTTCCTAATGTGGAAATAGCTTTAAAACTGTTAGTATCCATACCATGCTCAAACGCTAGCGGAGAGAGATCATTCTCCGTTTTAAAAAGAGTGAAGAACTACCAAAGAACATCATTATCTGATGAAAAGATGTCATCGTTGGCTCTAATGAATATTGAGAATTGTGTCCTACAAAGTATGGATTGGAATGATTTTGTTAAAAAATTTGCTGCACAGAAAGCTAGAAAAAAGTTGTAAATTTCAATTTGTGTTTAAATGTTTACACTTAGTACTAATATAGTTCTATGATACTAAAACTACTGATTTTACGATATGCTTATAAATATATATAAATTAAACAATTTTAACCCTGTTGTTATGTACGTTATTTTTTTCATGATGGGTACAGGTTTGTAAAGGGCGGCATTTTAAAATTTGCCCCCAGGCGGCATATTCGTTAACCCGGCACTGTTTGTCCTGCATAGTTCGCTACGGGCATATTGTTTTCCGGTGGACTGGATGGTAGTAAGTTTGGTCCGATCTCTTTGGGCTGCTGAAGTAACTTGGACGATTGTTCGAACGGGACTGACAACGACTGATAAATCTGGGCGTCTCCTACCGAGTGTCGACGACATGTTGTGGCCACGTTCGGCGTCGACGAGTATCTTATTATGGCCGGCCCTGTTCTGACTCTGGTCGGAAACGTCGATGGTATATGAAATTCAGCCGATCTCAGCCCTTCGAACACTAACTTCATCTTGTCACTCTCCGTCAACTGCAGCTTGATGGTTTCAGACGAGGTAAACATATTGAAAAAATACGTATTAAGCTAGTACAATGATATAGCAGACACGCTACACGCAGGTGGATGCTTCAAGGTAGAGTAGCAAGTGGGTAATGATCATATGTCAATAAATATATATGAGACTCGCTTGTTATAATTCGAGCAGTACCTATAGAATCAGGTAGGATATTATTTTATATTATATTATTATTATCGTACCCCACACTAGGTGTATACTCTATATGAATAATATTTTTTACTTTTATTTTATTTTTTATTTTGACTGGATACGCCTATAAATGCAATTCAGCCATCGTAGTGGGCAATGTGTGAAAATTAGATTAGTCATTTGTTATTAGTTATTTTTTACCAATAACTAAATATAACACATTCACTTGGATTTTCAGATAAAATTAATTGTTTTTTTTTTTTTGGTTAAACTAAATAATTGTTTATTATTCCAAGTTGATACCCACCTGCTAAGAAGCATCTGCGGTTGTCGAGTTTGATTATTATTTATTTTCAGCCAGTGACTATTCCTTACTAAAAAAGGTAAAGGTATACAATTTACACCTTTATTTTCATTATTATTAATTTTATGGGCCTAAAACCTTCTCTGTGATAGTGTGATGTCCTCTTTAATTAAAAAAAAACTCCACTACCATCAGTACCATCCGATAAGTTGGAATATTACTATATAAAAATAATACTACCGTCTTCTCAGTTAGCGCAGTCGTGGAAACCCCTTACAATTGTATGTAATAGTATAGATAGAACGGTAATAAAGAAAAAAATATGGAAATAAGAGTTGGATTGTTGTGTACTGATACAGATTCACTAATATTAGAAATAAAAACTAATGATTTCTACTAGGATATAAAAATTAATTTAGATAATATTTATGAGATTCCTTTAGTTAACAAAAAAATTGTAGGTAAGTTTATAAAGATGAATTGAATGGTAAAATAATGATAGAATTTATAGGATTAAGGTTTAAATTATATTCACATCAAATCATAGATAGCGAAAAAGAAATTAAAAAAGCTAAAGGTGTTTAAAACAATGTAGTTGAAAATAAATTATGTTTTATGATTTCAAAAATTGTTTGTATAATAAAAATCCAAAATATGTTAGGCAAAATTTAGTCAAAACTAAGTTACATGATATTTTAACTGTAGAACAAAACAAAAAAGCTTTAAGTGCTTATTATGATAAAAGATTTATTTTAGAAAATGGAATTGACACATTAGCTTGGGGGCGTTATAAAACAAATAAAGATAGAAAGTATTTAGTAAAACATTTTAATACATTAACTAAAAATCAAAATCAAAAAGATTAGAAAAATATTTCATATGAAAAGCTGCTCTAGAAATAGTTTTTAAATTATTAATGCAATTCAATTTTGTGTAAAATATTTTAATTATTATTGCATTTTGAGTTTGTGATCTTTTATTGTTAAAGTTAGAGGTGCGCCAAAAATGGCACATCTATACTACCTATATACCTACATTATACACGCTATATACAAACAATGATTTTTTTTTAACTTTGTAAATACGTATACTCCACTTCAATGCAGTATTCGTTTCTCTATTTTTAAAATTAAAAATATTATAATTAAATAGTATTTTATTGAAAATGTAATATCAAAACTATTAATAATTGAAGGAACCCAAATTCTAGTACAATTTAAAATACTTAACTAATTCCTAGTACTCAACCCTTTTTTCAAATACTTGGAATTCATTGAGTACTCGACTTTTTTAAGGTAATGGCATTGTGTCTCTAAGTATCTAAGTCCTTGTTTTGTGCAAATTTTTAATTCTGTATATTAATTATTATTCATTATTAAATTGTTTTTTATGTAGATATACATAATGTATAATACTTATTTCCCTTGTATTAGATACTTAATACAATTATTAAAATAAAATTATATTTTTGTTCTGGTCTTAAATAAATTCTGGCTGTGCTATAAAATATTTTCATTATAAAAAAAAATCACAAGTATTCATTAAATACCTGCATAAGTCATTAAAATGTTTTTTCTGTTATAATGTTAAGCATAGAATAAGCACAGTAAACAATAGTTTCTTCTTATTATTATTATAACAGGCCGATATCAAAATAGATCTTCATTTCAAACAATTTTCTTTTTTTGAAAGCTTCAATTTCACCTTGTTGAAGAGTTTGATTGTTTTCACCTTTGCTATCTCACTAAATAATCAGCATTTGTTTATAGAGAACTAGAGCACAGAATTCACAAGTCACATTGGGTTGTGTGAAGACTGGAAACAAATAAAAATTAACTATAGAATTTAATCTGCTGGTAAATGTATACAAGACAACTCGTTCAGTCGACTGCTACACTCACAATATTCACTTAAATTAACGTTCATGTTCTTTGAAATGACTGTTGAATCATAGTGAATAAAATACTTCTGCTCATATATTAATAAGATATACTATATATTTTTTTATCAACCTATTGATTATTAAATAAAACTTAAAATCAATACAAACATTATTATTTTTAATACATTTTATACTTCATTGTGAAAATGTTACTAATAACTATACAATATTACAATATATTATTAAAAGCAAAAACAATTATAAGAGATTTATTTTTATGATTTATTATAGTGGTTTATAATGTACAAAAATAAAACTTTTAAGCACCACACATAATTTCGTGAAAACTGGTTGTTACTATCAATTTTTTCAAATTTCAGTACATATTAAATCTCATATAATGTAAGTAATGATGTTGTTGATCAATATAATAATATATACCAGTATTAAACATAGGAACAATCATCAATTAAAAAAACTTGCGTGTAGATATTTGAAAATTTGACCGATAAATTCAATAACACTCAGCTCTCAGCTCTCTTTTGAATCCAGCATGATACAAAAACTAATGTTTTTCATCATTCTCTACTTCGATTACGAGTTTATCGAATTTGTATAAGTCTCCCACAATTGCCTACAACAAAAACACAAAACAATTATTAACAATTAGACTAGTACATTTTTTAATGCTTGTTGTAGTTAATTAAAATGATAATGTTATTGTTGTCAAAGATACCATGTATGGTCTCTTTGAAATTGTTTTTAAACCTATTTTAAATAGCTAAATACGAGTACTTTGAATTAGAAGTCCAAATGTGAAATAGTTATTTAATAATAAGTAAACGAGAATACAATATTTTCCCATAATTAATGCATAAATAATTGCTTTATTATGTTTAATCATTTATCTACTAACCAAACATTATGCCGTATTGGGAATGTATACATTTAATTCTTATTAAATAAACATTGATAGTTAGTATTAAAAATAGTATAGGTTCTACCCATAGAAATAAATTAGGAAACACTACTGCTATTTACTAATGAGTAATGAGTAATGAAATACATTTTAGTGGACATTGAAATTAAGTCACATAATATTTATCAAAATAATTATTGAAATACCTATACAATACTAGTCAGAGTGAATAAATTATTTATTACCTATAACCTTTATACTTTATTTGTGTCTATGCAATTAATTGTAGACAGTTTGTATGTTAACTTATCACACATTTAATTTATAAAACAGCATTGAAAATTCAATATTACATTTTATTATATTTTTTTTAAAAACTGGTTTTGCGTAAAAAGTTTGTACCTTGATTTTTTGTTTGTTTTTCCTGATGCTTTTGAAAACTATTCGACATTTTTTACTTTAGATCCCTTAAACTTTAAAGTACCAACTAGATTCACATTCCTACCAGAAAATATGATGTTGACAAAAATTTAAGCATTTTTACTCACCCAAAAAGTGAAAAAAACCACATTGTAAAATTTAAAAACTAAGTTGTAAATTTCAATTGTCAATAGATAGTTTACAGAGTCAAAATATTAAAATTTTATCACGTGTAGAAAATTCTATTACAAACATAAACGTTGGTCAAAAACCAATGGAAGAAAAATAATTTTGATTTTCAAAGAACCAACTAGGTACATCAAATTTACCCCAAAATGTATTAACAAAAAACACAGTTCATGTGCGAAGCTAACATGTCTGTTTTAAAATTTGAAAACAGGCACAACAATTAATAAGAATAATAACACCTTCATCCTTGCTAAGCTTAGAAACTAAAATGAGAACATTTTAAATTATTGTTGAGTATTATTGTATTTTTAGAATATTATTGGTGTACCAGTTTTTGATTGTTTTTAATAACTTTTAATATGCTATAACTACAATATCGACAATGTGTTATTGTACAATTAACTGGCTTCAAACAACAAACTGGTATATTTTATTATACTACTATACCTAATTACAGTCCATAAGCTGAACCAATAAAATATTATGTAATTTGTGACACGTAATAAAACAATAGAATTTCCCACCAAATAAATATAAATTAAAATTTCTCAGCCTGAAATACTTATTCAAGAAAGTAATATAATTTATTAAAATAACTATAATGATTTTGCGTTAATAAAGAGAAAATTGAAGAAAAAAAGGCACTTAAATGATAGGGCGACCTGAAAGCATGCCAATTGAACGACATCAAAACGTGCAATGATAATTGGTGATTCTGATAATATTAAATTACTTGTCGCTTGATGATATCCAAAAACCTGCGTGCATCGAGTAGGTGCTGTTGGATTTTTGATACGTCATTGACGGCCTTTTGCTCCCTGAAAGCATCTTTCACGCGTCTGACCGCATACATCCTGTGCAAAAAATATAGGCACATTGAAACGGTGATCGGAAATATTCGAAAAACCTCGCTTACCTGTAGTTGTAGAATGAAAACTTGCCACTCTCCCTCAACATAGTCTTGTAGATTTTGAGAACTTCGGCCCTGGTCGCTGGGGCAGCCATTGCGGTTAAAGACAGTTCAGAAAGAAATGACGGTGAAAACGAACAAGTCCTGAGAAATTGACACTGGCACTCACGACGTCAAGCAGCTTGTTGACTGATAGCTCTCTCAGTACTCGGTCTCTGTTGAAATGAAAAGATCCCAGGAGGCCAGGACGGCAGGATCCAGAGTCCATAAAATGTGTGAAAACATTTTCCGGTTAGGTGATAACGATAAAGTTAACACATTGATAAGACAGTCTTATCACAGAAACGCGGTCTCCCTAGGATCATACAAATAAAATACTATTGTAGAATATTTAAGAATAATAATAATTATTATTATTCTTAGATCATATACAATTATTGTAAATGATCTATTTATGTAGGTACCTATAGATAGGAATCAAGGAACTTACTATAAGAAAGACTACTATTTTCATAAGTTATTATTATTATTAATATTAAATAATATATTACGTAATACGTACAATATTATGAACCTTGTTCTCGTCTGGGATTGTTGACAATATATTAAATAGTAATCTCTATTCTCTTTCTATGCTTAACGCTTGCTTATAAGTTATTGACGTTCAACAACTAACCGTAGACCACTCACAGATTTCTAATTTATAACTACCTGAGTTGATACTTTTTATGTATTCTATTCAGTTGTTGAAGCAAGGATCTAGTGATGTTGTTAGCAAATATTAAATAAAATGACAGAATAATATTATTATTGTAATACTTAACTTAAAGTTGACATAAACTTATAATTCCTCAGAAAGTTGGTTGGGGTAAAACAACATCCATTTCGTGAAATCTGATTACAATACTTAACATGTGCAATTCTAATAAATTTACATAAGTAAAATAATAGTTGAAAACAAAAATGAAAAACAGCCAGTTTTTAGCTGCAAACATTGTTTGATTTTACAGAGAACATAATTATTTCTAGATTAAAATACTATGTTGTAAAAACAAAAGCATTAACACAAAATACAACCAAATTGCATTAAGTCTCCAGCTTTATAAAATATAATTTAATTTAATGTAATAATTAAAAATAGTATAAAAGTTTAAATTAAAAACGACTAGAGTAAATACATCATGAAATATCTAAAGATAGGTTAAAATATATTTTTATAAATTATATTGTAATAACTAATAAGCATTGATAACTAAATATTAGTTTTTTCATTCTAAAATAAAATAATTTTAACAATTTTAAAACAGACTAAATGTAACATACCTAAGTCAACAGAAGAAACCTCTCTGTATTAAAATATTTAAGAAAATAGAATAATCTTCAATAGTATATTATACACAATATAAAATTAGTATTTCTAAATTATAATTTCTATACAAATATAAGAATTAAAATTATATAGAACATGAAAGGTTTGAATACAATATGTATATGTAAAAATGTACATCAATTGTATTGAACAATAATATATTATTATACAAGTAATAAAATCAAAAATTTAAAACATTCTACAAATACTTCAGAAAAAAGAGCAGATATTTATAAACTAAAACTGATCTGATATTTCCAATTGAGGATCATAATTATTGGAATCAGAGTGAAAAGAGTCACACAAATATTCTAAATCTTTGTTGTCAACATTAATGTCTATCTGTCTCAAGTACGAAAACATTTTTGAATTCCTCCGGTTCACAAATGATTGATTTACCTGTTGATTTCTATAAAATGATCGTATAGTAGATAAATAATCGTAGCCCGTTTCATTTTTGCGATTACAATAATCTAAGCCTATTTGTTCTAGCACGTTCTTAGATGTGTTCCATGTCCTTTGACGTAGACTATGAAAAATATAAATTGTTGTTAAATATAGATATTAGATAAACATATTTTTGTACACAACAAATGTCACTCAGGGATTTAATTTGTATAGTTACTTTAATTCCTCAGACGTGGGGAAAAGTTTTTCTGGAACATAATCTTGTGTATTGATATGATTGAATATCCATTGACTGATATCTGTAGAAAGTTGAACAGAACTGTCAGACCAATGATGGGTTTCAATTAAACTAGAACTATCCCTCGTGGCTATGTGATGCCAAAATGGCTGAGGGTCTAAGAAATTGTAGCTCTGAAACACATAAAATCATAAAATATTTTCAAAAACATTTGATTAGTTCTGAAATTCAAGCTACAAACCTGTGTTTTAGAATAGATTAAGTTTAATTCTGACATTATATCTAGATTTTGAGATATTGTAGAGATATCAAAGTTGCACTTTGTTTGTTTGGAGTCTTTGATGCTAGTTGAATGACAACCAAACATATGTGGCCAATTCCACCAAATAGAATTTAAACTCATTTGGTATTGTCGATTTAGTACTTTCTGAATACATATTTTGAATAAATTAATGAAGAAACAAATAAGATTTGAATATTTAGTTTTTATAAATATTACCGGATCTATTTCTCCTGTACTCAAAACATATTGTAACTGAAGAGTACTCTGCCTAATGTCAGGTTTAAATGGATGGATAAATGCATTTATTTCGTCTTTTGTCATAATGACTCCTTCGTTTAATGCCATTAGCTGTAGAAAACAATCTGAAATAACAACACACAATGCAAAGGTTTATGCTGGGTTCCATGAACAATAACTTAACATTTAATGAATCAAGTGGGGTAATGGTTCTTTAAAATGATTTAATGGTCCATGATTGGTAGATTAAATTTTATTGAACAATTAAATATTAATAATGTATTAACATTATTCATGCGACACAGCATTAATATCCGAAATCTATTATTTTAGATATAATTGAATTGGTATTTTACAATAAAACTTACTTAAATGTTCTTTTGGCGGATGTATAAAATTTAGAGTTCTTTCATTGGACAAGAAAAATTTCAGCAAATTATTACTAAAAGGGTCATTTGCTGTTAAAACTAATGGTCTTTTTGAATCTGTAGCTAAAGTTGAAATTGCTGCTAAAAATCCATCATCATAATTTTCAAAGAATATATCAGCCTATATATTATAAAAAAACAAAAATAAATTGGTTAAGAGGATACCATTCGCATGTGTTGTCTTCGTCATGCAAAACGTAGAACATAGTAAAAATGGTTTTCAACAGGATTGAACCACACAGGCTATAATTCAAACATTCTAAACAAAGCAACCAAATTTTCATACTATTAATAGGAGAAAATTTACTGTGCAACACCATTTTTTATTTTTTTGTATATCTCAAACACAAGAAAAATTCTTATTGTTTAAAAACTTAAAAAAACTATTTTTGTATTTGTAATCAAAAAAATAAAAACGATGATGCCCAGTAAGATTTACAGTGTGAAAATTTGTTCGCTTAGCTTAGATTAGAGCCTGAGTCGTTCTGTCCTGTTAAAAACCATTTTTGCTATGTTGTACGTTTGTAAGGCGAAAACAACACATGCAAGTGTGGCATCTTCTTCATATGAATTTAAAATCAATTTTTACATTCATACAAATATTATTTTATACTTACATCTTCAATTAAAATAATTGTCATTTTTACATTTGTTTTATCTTTCTTCTTATGATTTTTGATTTTTAATTTTTTCCCTAAATTATAGAAAATAATATCATATTTTTAGAAGTAAAATAAACATTAATCAAGCATCCAAATTTAACTAACATTTTTTTTTGTAAATTGTTTAGATGTATTTTGGAAATATTGATGTCTAAATCACATTATTAGCTAGTAGTTTTCTAGTAATTTAACTCTGTATATCAAGAATAATAGATTTGGAAGAATAGATTCTACGATCATTTGAAAATGAAGTGATAATATATAAATCTATCAAACATTTTATATCTTATAAAAAACTTTATAGCAGATATAAATAAATACAAGATCTAACTTTAATTAGATTAAAACTTAAAATTATATTAATACTCAGAAACTATTAGTTCAAATTTTTATTTAAATATCTCAATAACAAAAAATTCATTGGCTTCACCATTTACAATGAAAAAGGTTGATTTTCATTTGAAAAATAAAGTTAGTACTGCCAGATGCCCAAAAAAAAAATTTAAAGGGAAAAAATGGGTGGACCATGGTTTGTGAATCTTTATGTATATACATTTTATTTTCAGTATTTTGTGTGGCCCTATTTATTAGTTTGAAAAACAGCTGGTACTTTATGAAGGACATTTTGAAATGTACTCAGTAATTTTTCTAACAGTAAGATTACAACCCGAGTAAGGGTAAAAAAAATAGTTAACTACAATTATTGTATTGGCTGAGAAACTATACTATTTAACTGCAATGATAAATCATTACCTTTCAATTCATAATAATAATACATATCTTGCATGCAAGTTTAAATGAGATGCCACCAGTAATCATTATACTCTGAACATCTGTATTATTTTAAAATTCAAATTCAAACAGTTCTTTTAAAAATATGCTTTAGACTATCAACCATTAAATTATTATTTAAATAGTCATTCTACTTATGACAAATGATCTGTATGCACATCATTTTAAAAATGTGTATACTATATGAAATAAATACTGAAAACCAGATTTGCTTAACTTTAGCTACCTTTAATGACATAACAAAATACAGATACAGATTTTAAATTATCTGAGTGATTAGCAAACAGTAAAACAAACTATCTGCAATCTCTGCCAAAACACATAAAAATTATAAACTAGAGCAAATCTCGCTTTCTCATTTTTCAATACTGAGCAGGAAACTTCTCAAAATAGGAAAACACTTAACATATTATAACCTATTCCCTATAACAATTAGAGAATCTTTAAGTATTAAATGAACAAATTTTATATAGAGTTTGGAATATTTTATGCTTAAAATCTAAATTTCTTAGCTAAAGCTAAATCATGATAATTGAAAGGTGTAGTTTTTTCTCTATAATGAGTATGTGAAAGAGATAACCTATGTTATACTAATATCGTCTAAAGATGATAATAAAATACAAGAATGAGTTATATCTATCTATAAAAAATAAAATTATAAAGTAAATTCATTCTTTTTAAAACTAAAATAGTAAGTTCTGTGTCAATATTATTAGGCTTTCTGGCTCAGATAAAAAATATTGATTCAAGAGTTAGTCTATAAATATAAAGTTTATGATAAATACCACACCTCTCATTGGATTGAATAAACAGTTTTTTTCCACTGCATGCGATTGTGTAGCTTCCATTAAATCAGTTACAATACGTTTTCCATTTCTGTTACAGGAAGCATTCAACTCAATCACCTATATTATAATGCAACAAACACCAACTTATTTTAATGAGTTTATAAGTTTAAAAAGATGATTAACAATAGCATTACATTTGCATTAAGTTCATTGGCTACAGCATAAACTGCACTAGTTTTTCCACAACCACTGGGTCCAAGTAAAATTGCTAAGTTAAGTTGTTGTTTACCACTAGATTCACTATCGCTATCACTATCAAAGATAAAATCATCATCATCACCATACTTTTGAACTAAACATAACAAAATATTAAAAAATATTTTTAAAAACTAAATTATACATTTTCAATATTTGCAGTGTAAAAACTAACCTTTTTTTGACTTTTTAGAATTTTTTTTATTAGGTGCTAACCAATTTTTCAAATCTTTAACAAGTTTATCATTACCAAGCACTTCTTCTTTACACATTGGCTTATATTTATCAATCCACATAGATTCAATATCTGTTGTAGATTTCTTTGCCACTAAATTTTTTTTCTTCAAGTTTTTATGAAATTCTGAAACTGGAAAATTTGGTACCTGTAAATAAAAACCATCTTAAAGTTAATGACCATATTTTTAACTGCACATTTTTATTAGTACACATTTGAATAAAAAGACTAACACTATTGGGTGTATGAAATCATAAACAATGAAATGTTTAGTTTTAAGTTTAAGTCATCACAAGAGTTGTATGTGAGTTAAGTTTTTTACATTATTTAATAGCAAGTGGCTTCCGCAAGCCATCTAGAAACAAAATAATAGAGGTTTACATTATTCTGTTTAGTTAGGATAAAGATGATATCGAGATCAGTTCAGATAATTATAATAGTAATGAATCACCTATCCTATAATTTAAATATTATAATAATTAGTAAGAAATTCAAATTAATGTGAAAATAGATTGAAAAATAGTTCATGAACTTGATTTCAAATAATTGGATTAATATTAATTTATTTATTACAATGATTAATATTGTAGAATAATTATTAACAAAGAAAATAATGTAAACAGATATAATTAATCAAATATATAAGATGTTCTAGAAGAACATGTTTATGTATCAAAATGTGGTGATTCCAAACAGACTTGTTTGCAAAAAATGCTAATTTTGTACTAATAGCCAAAATATATATATTGACAGTTGACACACTCTATATTTTTCCTCAAAAATCTAAATACTTACCGACATTTTTAAAGATGAAATCATGTATGGAAAATTAATTTCCATTTGGTAGGGCTCTAATACTGGACGTTTAGGTAGAGAATGAGCATTTTGAAATTTAAGAATAGAGTTTTTATGACAATTTTCACGGAATACTTCTTCATCCAAACGGAGTATAAAATCTGATGACTTCAGAGATGCCAAACGGTTAGTGTGTGTGATTTTAGGAAAACATCCTTCTTCTTCAACAAAACTACTGATATAAGGCAAATTGGAATTACTCCTGAAAACATAGTTATAAGAGAAAACGTTGAATAACAATAATCCAGGTAGAAAGTACATGAAATTATTAAAAGTGTGTCATACTTAATGGTACAAACATCGTGAGAAAGCAGCTTAATGTCTTTTAGCTTTGATTTATTGACTAACAGAGTTTTTGAACTATCAACACAACTGGTTTTGGTGATGATGTTCTTTTTTCTCACATCGTTGTTGGAATCGGTCGTTTTTGAATTGCCAGCAGGGCTTTTTTTGCCGTCATCAAAAGACTTGCCAAAATATGCAAAAAATGCCTTTTTCTGCCGTAAGTCCCCATCGCAGACCGTTGACGTTTTATCATTGGACACCGGCGCATCCGACTCTCCTTTTTCTTGGGAAATTTTTTTCTTCTTGGTGTCAGCAAAAACGCAGTCGTCCGATGATCTCTTTGTCGTGCGTCCAACCATTGTCTGTACTTTGATTTAAGATGATCAGTCAAACGTTGTTGTTAAAAATCGAAGCAATGGATAAATTAATTTACTGATGATAACGGTTTTATTGCTTCAACAATTTTGTCATTTTTGTCAATTTTGACACGGAAATATAACACTAACACAACATCGACATTTGATACTATTTAACGAGCACTTAATATTATTCATAAGAGCAATAACTTTCGCACACGGATTCACCAGTTATCACTCGTCGTGTCTTATCGGAACGCGATGTTCCCGCCAGTTTTTATCGTGGTGCTCGTAACCGCGGTATAACAGTGGTCGTAACTTTCCAGTATTTTGCGCGGCACCATAAACAAAATAATATCATAGGTAATGATAATATTCATATAATAATATAATGGGGACATTGCATATTGTTCCGAAAAACACGTGTTCCAATGGACTTTTGTTCCACAAAATACATTTTATGAACGTGGAAATGTATTAATTGTCGAATACTCGAATAGACCAAAACCCAAATTTTTTACGACCACCATTAGGGTAAATTTGGTTCTAGTTGAAGAGACAAATTATATATTGTTTAATAAATGTTCAATTATTCATTTTAATAAAATGGTATTAATTTATTAATATTTGTTCGTGGTTGTTGTTCGCCATCAGAATTATGACGGATTTAAAACGTCGATATAAGGTTAAACGTCTACTCATACATCGTTTCGGTTTCACCAATCGTACACGGTGTACTATATAAAAGTTTTTTATATGTTCATTGTTCATGTAAAAACTTAAAAAAGAATTAAATACAGCTATTAGATATTTGGTGTTTGGTACAAGAAAACGAATAAATCAGTAATTGCAAGTTAATCATAAAATATATAGGATTTGTCGATGATTATCATCAATTAGTAAAAATGAAGAAAAATAATTTTTTGATTATACTAATTAAAATCAAACAGTCGTATATGGGCGTAATAATAATTGTATAAAACGATTGTATACGGCGCATTATGTAGGCAATTTAAGGCCATAATTGAATGTTAAAATAAATGTTATCATTTATCATCAACGAGGTATCGTACTATAATTGGAAGTTCAAAAGTGTGTTCAGTTTTCTACAGTGACAGCCTCTTAACATTTTAAGTAGAAGTACCTACAGCCAACCCTGATAAAAAATGTAGGTAGGTATATCATCTGTAAAACTGTAGATCAACCTACAGTTATTCACTTTTCGACTTGCGTAGAAACTAAAGCATTTTTTTATTAGTCTATAACGGACGACGATAATTGATTATTATCTTTATTTGGATCAATATTAATGTGATTTCACATACTTTCATGATATGACGTAATTATTTATGACAACTTTTTTTTGTTTTTGAAAAATGTACAATCTTTATTTGTTAACACAATAAGCAAAAACGATAACTGTCATAAATGTATACATAATAATATAAAACAACACATTAAGCACAAGATTAGGGTAGTTATCATGGAACCGCGATAATTAGTTTATTATAAGTCAATACTATTTTAATAGGTCATGGCATCAACACCTGCTATAACACTTATAATTTTTTTAAGAAATCCGATTTTAATAATAGTTTTATATTATAGTATAGGTACTTCAATATTCAATCTTTACATATAATATATTATATAAATGCAAATTGATGATTGTGAGTTCGTTTACCCGTTCGTGGCTAATTGGCCACCTCGGTATTTTTAAATAATTTAAATAATTAATTATGTATTGTAATAATTGTTTGTTACATACAATGTATTATACAACAATTATAGTCATTGTAATAAAATTATTTAAATGCATTTTAATAGTAACATTTTGCCTTTTAACAACAAAAAATTAGCGTAATAATGCTCAGCACTAGTAAGCTCGTAACTAACCCTTATAGTAATATAAATGTATAATTAAAACGTGTGTTCCCATACTATACTATATTACTATAATAACGTAAAATAAGATAAATTTAAAATGGCTCTTTAAGTCTCGTTAATAGCTATATTAAAGTTGTGTGCTAAGAATCTGTATGATCCTTATAAGTTATAAGTGTTGAGGCATAATATCTGCAGATGTAAATATGTAATTATTAAATGTTTGCCATTGCCTTTTTCCACGTGTTTGGAGAGCATTCGAGGTCATGTATTCGAGAACTTGATCAATTTGATTATTTTTTTTAAAGTTTCCCCGAACCTATCGTGGACCGAGCGTTGCGCAGTATTATAATATAGCGATATACAACTCCGTCATACTTATTACTCATACATACAAATTGAATACAAAACACACAGAATATTATGATGATAATAATTTATACACATTGCACACACAAAAGTATTAATATAAATATTATAATATGATATGGTCCGGTTCGCGGTCGTCTCTAGGACGCGGCTCGTGCTCGTCCGGTGAGATATGAGTGAGACCGAACGAATGAACGATACATTAAAATTTATATATATATGAGTATATACGAGACTTCCATATATACATATAAATATATATATACATATTCCTGTATTTATTTTTTCGTTTCGTTCCACTCTGTAATTACGGACATAAAAAATGATTTAGAACGTCCCAAACGCCCGCGGGACCCAACTCCGAAGAGACCCAGCGTCCGCCGCCACGCCATATCGCAGTCCGATATACGACGCGCGGTCGTACATAATATATATTATAAACCATACTTAACTATACAGGCACTCACACACACATACACACACACACACACACACACACACACACACACACACACACACACACACACACACACACACACACA